CTAAATCTTTGAACAATTGTAAGCAATCTTGAAAATATGTACCATCATCCAGAGAGGATTTTTAGTGTTTGCAGGAGTTGACAGATTTTTTCGCTGCATCTAATACTTCACTGCTACTAGTATTAGTAATATTATTCTAGAAACTGTTCTTTTTGTTCCTTTTCCCCCTAATTAATCTGATTGTACTGAATGTTAGCAACAGGATTTGAGCTCAGATGTCTAGTTTTAGCTGAGAAGGAAAACAGCAGAGGAAATCTATTTTGGAAAAACAGTGTGTTTGAAAAGGAGAAGGATGAGTTTGGTTCCAATTACTACTATCTGTTGCAATGAAACATATGCAATATGTTATTGTACCAATAATTCTAGTATTACCCATTTCTTTGTAGGAGTTTTTAGCTTGATTTCTCCTGGTGAACTTATTCAGAAAATTGTAAAAAGACACTTTTTCCCCCAGTACATGTGGGTGATGTTTATGTGGTATTCTTTTAGTTGTGATTTTCTGAGAGCCAAACAAATTTCTTTAACCTGTATAAAACATACATGTTTGTGCATATGTCTCTCTGCTAGTCAAATTGCCACAGAGGAAATGCCCTTTTCACGGTTAAAATGTTGTGGAATATTAAATTACTAGCTTCCAAAATACAGTTAGGAACATTTACAGGTTAAATGTCAGGCATTTCTGCTGACAAGCTAGAGACAGTCATCTATATTGCTTTGATGTTGGTACTAAAACACATTATTCATCTCATATCAGCCACTGCTAGCAGCTGTAATTTTGGTTGCAATTATTTCTACCTTGAATTTGACCAGTTGGGCTTATGATCTTCCTGTGAATCCTATTCAGATTGTGTCTGCTTCTGGTGTTGTGCTGGATTCAGCCATCACTAAGCTCTCAAAATAGTCACAGCTCTGACTGACTACCATCCTTACCATATGGTTTGGATTATGCATGGTGGACTTCTACTGTGTTAAATTGTATCCAGAAAGTACACCTTCTGCATAAAACTCCAAGTATAGTCATGAGAAATCTTATTTAGTCATAATAATTGAATTGAGGTGCTGTTCAATTTTACTTTGTTAAGGAAAAAAAAAATCTTGTAGCAAAGCCAATACATTCATCTCTTGCCCTTTCTTTTCATATAACTGAACGCTATTTTCAGCAAGCTTTCCATAGAGAAAATGTCTTTGGTTTGGTTATTGGCTGACTTCTTCAGCCTTTGTGTGTTTCATAGTCTTTAAGTTTTGAAAAGACAGAAGATAAGATTTTGGGGACTGTGGACTGACTTAATGGGTTTTTTATATCACTAAGTGGAATCCAGTCCTTGTATCCTTGCATGGATACAGCAAATTTCTTTTGCTTCAACGCCTTCTTCCAATTTGGAATGAAGTAATAATTTTGAAAGGTTGAGATCTTTCTGTTCTAAATCTTGAGATATGTGGTAACCAGGAATAATAGTTATTTTACTAAAGCTATGGTGGTTTTTTTTGTTTTGTTTTGTTTTGTTTTGTTTTGTTTTTTACTGGAGGTTTTTATGAACTGAATAATTTTTAAGTGACTAATTTAATTTTACTTTAAAAAATTATTTCAAAATCTCATTTTAAAAAATTATAATTTAATTGTAACTGAACAACTTCAGTTTTAGTTGAAAATAAAAACCCTGGATCACTTCTTGATTCTTCCTTATATGACATGTTTAAAATAGCTTTATTTATTTCTTCTGTTGACTTTTAAATATAGTGGGTGAGCAGCTTTAATATATTTAATTCCAGTAAAAAACAGAAGCTTATTGAAGATTTGGTTTGTTTTCAGACTATTTCTATGTTACATTGTCCATATATATTTTTAACCTTTAAACTTTTTCTAGTGCTCATCCTACTTCATACATTTATCACCTTATGTAGTAACAGTCCTTTAATTTGTCTTGGACAGTACATACAGAATAATGCAAATATTCTGAGTTGCAAGGGGACCAAAAAAGGATCATAAAATCCAGCTTTCTACACAGAATGCCCCAAGAGTCACACTTTGTGTCTGAGGACATTGTCCAAATAAACCTTGAGCTCAGTCAGGCTTGGTGCTGTGATCACTTCCCTGGGAAACCTGCTCCAGTGCCAAGCCACCCTCTGGTAGCTGACATATACAGACAGAATTTTTCAAATACATTTGGCATATTAGTCAGCCTTTGTCTTACTTCAAAAACTAATAATAATTTGGTTTGAACTGATGTCAGTAGTCACAGTGATAGACTGACAGCTAGTCTCTATTTCTCTGGAGGGAGGTCACAAGTCCTGCCTTCAGACTGCTTCTGCAGTCTCCATTCTCCACATGCTTACAGGTCCTGCAAAGACCCTGCTCCAGCATGGACTTTCTGTGGTGTCACAGCCTCCTTAGGGCTTTCAGCCTCCTTTGAGGTCTTCCACAGGCTCCTCCATGGGATGCAGGCACACAGCTGCCCTTCCATGGCCTTCACCTCGGGCTACAGAGGAATTCCAGCTCTGCTACCTGGACCACCTTGTCCCACTCCTGCACTGACCTTCGTGTCTACAGGGCCATTGCTGTCATATTCTCACTCCTCTCTCCTGGCTGCTGTTGCACAGTAATTTTTTCCCTTGCCTAAAACTGTTATCTCAGAGGTGCCCCCACCATCACTGATGGGCTCACGTCTGATCAGCAATGGATCTGGCTTGGAGTGCTCTGTCTGGAATTGGCTCCATGAGACACAGCAGAAATTTCTAGCATCTTCTCTCAGAAGTCAACTTTGTTACTCTCCAACTACCAAAACCTTGCCTTGCTAATCACTGCAATACATTACCAGTGCACAATTTAGCTGTAATGTCTACCAAATACGTAAATCTTTAAAAAGTATACTGATCTTTGTGTTTCTGTTAAGGAGATTCTGAAATGCAGAAATTTGTAGACTTTACTGTGTCATGCCTTTTCACAATAGCTATTTCCTTTCATTGTCAGGCTTTTGTCTGATTTTAGTGGGTCTCTCTGAGAATAAACTTTGCATTTGGGAATATGCAAATTAAAAAGTTTCTGATGAGTTTCACGATAGAGACGCTTCTGGTTCTACCTTTCTGCAGCCTTTTCCCACTGCTTCACTCAAGTCTAACAGTCACAGTGAGAGAAAATTGTAGGCTTGTTGAGGTTGTTCTTACATGCTGCTGTCCTCCACAGTGTCACCACACAATTGCTTGGAGAGTAGAAGTGAGAAAACCCTTGGGTTGTGATCAAGACAGTTTAGTAAAGAAGGGCAAAAACTGTGCATGCAAGCAGAGCAAAACAAGGAATTAATTCACCATTTTACATGAGGAGACCAGCCATCTCCAGGAGATCAGGGCCTTATCATGCGTAACACTGACCTGGGAAGACACAAACTTCATCACTCCAAACACCCTCCTTTTTCTTTCCTCCAGTTTTCGATGCAGATTATTATGTCATCTGCTGTGGCATATCTCATTGAGTTAGTTGGGATCATCTGTCCTGGCTGTCCCAAGTCCTTTTGCACCCCAAGCCTGCTCACAGGGGGAAGGTGTAAGGAGCAGAAAAATTTTTAGCTCTATGTAAGCCCTGTTCAGTAATAAAAACATCCCTGAATGATCAACTCTGTTTCCAGCACAAGTCCCAATCCCAGCCCCATATTATCTGCTGTGAAGAAAATTAACTCCACCCCAGCCAAAACTGGAACATTCACTTAATGAGAAAATGATGCTGATAGTGCTTCAGTAACTTGGTGAGAAACAAAATTTGCTCTTCCATCTATTTCAGCATATTACAGGAGTTTTGCCTAATGATTCTCTTTGTAATGGCTTCTCAAGTACAGGTGTATTAAGGTCAGCTTTGCGCTTGGATACTGTATTATTAGGGAGATAAATTACTGGGGTTTTGTTTTGTCTGACACTTACAGAAAAGCCTTTTTTTTTTTTCAGATCCTGTATGTAGGTAATTTTTAAATGCATGTGAAATTTTCACGCAGTGATTTTATTTAAGCCTACACAGCTGATTTAATTATTCATAAGCATATATCTTGGTAGTTGTCATATGAATAAATTGGGTTTGTGTCTTTTTTTTCCTTAAGGTGTTTCCTTTGTTATATGCAAGTACTGGAGGGTTTAATTTTCTTCTACAGTAATACTTAATCCTTATGTAGTCTCACATTATTTAAAAATGCATTGTGCTTTTGTTTTTCAGCTTCCTTTAAAATACCTTCCGTTTCTACTTTTACTTCCATCTCACTTGTCTGTAGTGATAACACACACCTTCATTGTAGTTAAGATTGGCAATGAGGGGTTTATTATCTTTGATTGTTGAAGTTTCAGTTTATTCAGATCTAATAACTGACTTTTCCAGAAAAATTTCTTGCTTTGCAAGAGAATTTGCTCTTCTTTTCCTCTTGCAGTAAGAAAATGGTTAATGCTTCTGATAATTAGTGCGCATGATATAATTCAGATGTACAGTTCTGGGGGATATACACTCAGAGCCTGAGGGGTGATAAACCATTAATCTGTAAAGCACTGGCTGCATTGTGTGTTAGTCTGCTTGTAAGCAGAGATAAGATGTGACAGGACTTTGTTGTCTGTGCACAGCAGGAATCTCAGTTCTTTTCTACCATCTTGGGCAGAGTAACAGGAGTTGCAGTGGGTAAATGTCCCATCATTTTGTGAAGGCACATCATTAACACAGCTATGGTTGCAAGGTCATGAGGATGTTCAACAGCTTAGGTCTTTCCACCTGTATTGAACTTCTGGAGGGACTAAGTGATACTGAATCAAATATTTTTTACTTCTACTTCACACAGCATTTAGCTATTCTCCCAGAAAATTGGAATGTTGCTTTACAATACACTGAGTAGAGGTGGTAAATTGCATTTATCTCCTAAGATTAAGTTATAAAACACTTTGCTATTCAAGTTAAATGCTTCAGTATTGTAGCAACTATATGAAAACTCTTCTGTGTGATTTTGGCTCTCTAAATACAACAAATTTTTCTTAATTAGGTCTTTACTAATGTGCTGACTCACCCAAAATGTCCATAAGAGAATAATGGAAGCTCCTGAATACCTTGATTTGGATGAAATAGATTTTAGTGATGACATATCGGTAAGTACAAGCCTTATTTTATTTTTTCAAGTTGAGATGACCTTAGATGTCTCAGTCGTGATGTAAAAAGCAACACCCGTGTTAGAAGCCAAACTTCTTTTTACTTAATTTAAGGGAATAGGTTGAATTGAGGAAAAAAAAAATCTGATGTTTTGTAAAGGCAAGGTCTCTAAAAAGCTTGGAATGAAAACTTGATTCCTCTCCTTCAAGTAGTAAAAATTACTTGTAGACAAAATTAATAAATTAGTTTCATTTCTGGGTTGCTTCTCCTGTATTGTCCCAAATGAGCTGTGCTGTAGTGCTAGCCTTAGACAGCATTTTTTTAAATCAAACGTATTTCAGTTGTAGGAAACCTGCCTCTCTCACCTTTGCCTTTTTCATGAATAGCCATTTCCCAATACAGTTCCATTTTATCAATAGATGTGATATGGTAGTGTACAGAAAGAGATAGAAAGATTTTGAGGGATTCATAGGCAGCAGTGATCTTAGTGTGACAAATAAAACAGCCCTAATTGCAAATAAAAATACAGTGTTACTTTCTACATTTTTAGTGTTCTTATAGGAGATACTGGTACTCTGTATTTGTTACTCATAATACTACTCTTACTGCCAGTGTTTCTGCTTTTTTGTGCAATGGAGTTGTTCATGTGTTCAATGTTTGATAAAAAAATAGACTTGAATGCATAAATTAAATCTCCCATAAGAGAATGTATTATAAAATATTATAAATTATAAATTAATAATTAAATTTTCAGATTAAAGTATCCTGCTCTCTCCTTCCATGTTTCATAGTTTTATAGTAATTTTTTTTTCCACAAATGCCTGGTTTTCCCATTAGCATTTGGGACTTCTGATTCCTTTTAAAACATTCCAGATGCTTTATTCACTGAAAAATCCCTTTTGAAGAGATTTTTTTTTTGTACCTATTGTACTGTTGAATTTTTATTAAATCAGAATATGGCAAATGCCCAGAATATTAGAAGACAATGAGCCAATCTTGAGTGATTGCCTTATTAGGGGCAACTTTCTTATGTTACTGTTATATGCCAGATTATGTCCTGGTAAGTATAGAAACAGAGTTTCTATACTCAGTTTAGTAAAACTGTAAAACATAATAGATGTAACCTTTCCATGTCCCTCCCATTGTGGCTGTTTCTGCATACTGGTGGGTTAGATTACTCACTTTCCTGCTGAACAGCTCAGGCTGCCTTCTTTCATAGCCTGTTCTTGCAGTGGATGCTGAACATTAAATGAAAAATCATCACAAATGATTGAGGTAGCAGTTTTACTCCCTGCTTTAACAAGTAAGAGAACAAAGGATTTGTTGCCAGAACCCAGATCAACAAGAGAATTTGTGGTTACTCTAGTGATCTACTCATATGTCATCATACACAGTTTAGAAATACTGGACCTTCACATTTTATCGTTAGCATGCTCTGGTAAGAGCAGCTGCATAGCATCTGTGTTAGCAAATTATATTATTCATGTTAGCCCTCTGGTTCTAATCCAGTGCAGAAAAGTGACTAATAATAATGGCAGCAAGAAAGCTGTTAAAATTATGCACTTACAAATGTACTTCATTTAGAAAGCCACTGTTTGTAGTCCAGACCCTTGTCATCCATTTCAGTAAAACTGACCAAAATGTAATAATCAAAAAAGATTGACAGACAGGAAGTTGATCTAAAAGGCAAATATATAAGTAAATAAGGGAAGGGGGTGGGGGGAGTGTGTTTGAGTTATTAATTTATTTTCCTTTGGTTTGTTTGTTTTTATTTCATTGGTTTTTTGGTTAGTTTTTTGGATTTTTTTGTTGGTTTGGTTTTATTTTTGTTTTTATGTTACATTTGTACATGAGAAAAGGGAAGTACATTTCTCCAACATCATGGAATCCTAGATGGTTTTGGTCGGAAGGGACCTTTGAAGGTCATTCAGTTCCAATCTCCCTGTCATAGGTGGGAATACCTTCCACTAGATCAGGTTGTTCAAAGGCTTGTTGTGATGGATTGACATTGACTGGTCATCAGGTGCCCACCAAACCACTCTGTCAGTCCTACTCCAACAAGAAACTTGTGTTTTAAGAAGGACACCACTCACCAATTAGTGTAATAGGAAAAAAAGACTCCTTGGTGATACTAATTTATTGCCAATCAAAGAGCACAGGATGATGAGAAACAAAGACAAATCTAAAAGCACCTTTCCCCCACCCCTCCCTCTTTGCAGTCTCAACTTTACTCCTGAGTTCTTTCTGCCTTCCACCTCAGTAAGCACAGGGGGATGGGGGAGGATAGGTTTTGCATTCAGGTTAGGCACTAGTGTGAAAGGAAAGCAGTGGGAGATCCCAAGTCAGAAATACAATTTAATAGGAAAATTAAAATAAATGCTTTAATACACCAACACTGACAGAGTCAGAATATGACCTGACTCCCTGTTGGTCAGGGTGTTGGTAGCAGTCCGATTAAATGGTGGGTACAGTCTTCTTGAAATGATAGATATAGTTCTGTTGAAGCAGTGATCCTGTAGAAGGGCTTGACCCGCCAAAGATCCAGTGATGGTTATGGAGCTCTTATCCTCTGGAATTCAGTGGCTAAAGCTGCCCATTGTGTTCCAAGCTTCAGATCATATCCAGATAGGAATGCTTGGATCTCCTCCTAGGTGGAGCATCTCACAATTTTATCAGTCTTGCAGTCAGACTTGATGGCCCATTAACAGAAGATATCCCCTGGAGTTATCAGGGGTGAGTCATGAAGTAGATAAGGAGTACTGCCCTACCTGGTTTTAACAGCTGATGAAGAAGGTGATAGAATACATACTTTTGGGTACATCTTACATTGTATCCTAAGACAGGTTATCACAGAGTGTTCCCTCCTCATCCTCTTCACGCCTACACCAGTGTGGGGTCCCACTCACAGAAGGCAATCCTCTGTGAATTTCTCCATTTTGAGTTCTTCCCAAGGACCAGCATTCTTCATGGACTGTGCCAGCATACATCCTTTCCATGAGATAGAATCCTTCAGGAGCAGATTGCTCCAGCATGGGTCTCACACAGGGTTATAGTTCCTGCCAGAAAACCTGCTCCAATGTGGTCTCTTCTCCACAAGAATTAGTTCCTACCAGGACTCTGTTCCAGCACTGTCTTTCTACAGGCTGCAGGTTTCTTCAGGGCACATTCACACACTCCAGTGTGAGGTCCCCTGTGGGCTGAAGGCTGGGTATCTGCTCTACCATGGTATTCTCATGTGACTGCAGGGGAATGTCTGCTACAGCATCTGGAACTCTGCCTTCCCCTACTTCTTCACTGATTTTGGTATCTCACATTTTATTGTTCCTCTCTCCCAGATGCTTTTATGCAGTGGTTTTTACCCTTTCTTAAGTCTGTTATCCCAGAGGTGCTACCAACACCTCTGATGGGCTCAGCCTTTGCTAGCAGCCAGTCCTCCATGGAGTCAGCCTCTGCTCTTAGTTTGCCACATAAACTAAATACAATCATATGTGGTGGGCATCTAAAACTTCTCTGGGCAACCTGTTGCAGTGTCTTACTACCCTCATTGTAAAAAATGTCTTGTTGTGTTCAATCTAAATTGATGTTTTTTTATTTGCCCCTTGTCCTGTCACTGCAGGCCCTGGAAAACATAATTTCTGTATTTTTCTCATAAGCCTCCTACATATATTGGAAGGCCGTAAGAAAGTCTCCGGGCAGCCACCTGTTCTCCCAGATAAAGAATCCAAATTCTCTCTCAGCCTTACTTCACAAGATGGTTCCATTCCTGATCTAAATGATATAGTATATTTGTAGTTCAGACAGCAGAACACGTTTTTGGGGCTCTTTTTTACATTAAACAAAAGTAATATTCTGTGTGCAGTAACATTAAGCAACCCAGCTGAATATTTTCATTTATTTCTTCATTAATAACTGCTCACAGAAAGGAAGGGGAGAAAAAAGACCTTTAGGTTGCATTAAATGATACAAAGATTATCAAATGTATGTTTTATGCTTTCATCTTTTTGCTTTTTTCCTGACTTTGCCTCTAAGTTTATTCCTGCTCTCAAGTTATATGCTGTTGGTATGGTTACCTGAAGGTGTCCTAACCCTTTGATTGGAATGCAGGATTTATATTGTATTGGCAAATTGAGGAAATTGAAATTATTTTATTTTTTGGTTTACAGAAATAGTACAAAATAGCCTCATCATAACCAGAGATCCTCATGCTAAGATACTTGTAAACTGTTAGAGATTGAATGTATAGATCATTGCTGTGATCATTCTCTTAGCTCCATATGAATGAAAGCCAGGTTCAGTGGTGCCAGTGTGAGACTGTGCCTGATTTAAAGGTTTGTGAAATGTAAGTGCAGTAATTGCATTCAAATCTAAGTAAACACCTGTTGAATCATCAGGAATTTTGGAACAACTTTAAACACTTCTTGTTAATCCTTGCCTGGCAAGGAGGAAGACATAGACTATGCGTGGTCAAGACTATGCCCAAGCTGCTAGGCCTCCCATTTATTCGACACGGGGCCCTTCCTGAGCCTGCTGCACCCTTCCTTTGGCACAGAAAGAGCTGGATGACCCCTCAGGTTCACACACAGCCAGATTTTGCCTACTCTGCCACCAGTCCTGCTGGGCTCGGTGTGCAGAGTCCTACATCGCTGTGCAGGCACAGTCATTAACTGCAGCAGATTGATTCATTTACCATCCATCTGAACCTCTCTCTTACATCTCTCTCTTTTCTTCCTGTCTCCCATTTCAGAATGAAGCAAAATGCAGATGTCCACTGGGTTGTTCATAGGAAGTATTAGTTTCAGACAGACATTTTGTACCCCTAGCAGTGTTAGTAGTTTCTATATAGGTCCCCTTTTAAGCTAAAAAGAAGAATAACATATCAAGTGTCTATATAAGATACACAACACATGGCACAAATAACCTAATCAATGCTCCAAAGATGTTCATCATAGCTGTAAGAAAGACATTTAGTCTGGGGAGGTGATATTACCCACATGCACCATGCCAGTCTAATCTCTTTCCTTCTCTGATTTTTGTTTGGAAGCTGCTTAAATTGACGCTACTCTTGAAAAAAACCTTCCTGCAACATCAGACCAAGCATTGTTCCTTTACTTTTTCTCAGTTTATCTTGCTATTCCCAAATAAATGTCTCAGAAATATGATGGCATTGCACAGTTAAATGATTAAGAAAATACATTGTAAAGTCACTAATTTAAAAGATATTTAATATTAATGAAACATTTTCTTCCACTATCACAAATAAACTGAAATGAGACTATTTACTTGGAAACACTTAAAAAAATGGCTGCAATGGAGGAAGGTGCCTGTTTTTAGTACCAAAATGAAAGCAAAGAGCTGTGCATTTAGGATCAAGCCAGAGTCATCGGTGTCTTTATCCAGTCAAGATCATTGGTGGTGCTAAATTATTTGAGTTCTGATACTGCAAACAGTGGGCATGGTCCTTCATACTTTGAGGGTGTCATGGTTATGACAATGTGGTCAGAGACTTGTACTATGCATACAACTTTGCACTTTGACTACAATTAGGATACAGCAGAATGTTGAAAAGTAACTTTTGTTTCTTGATTTACTTGGGTTTTTTACTATTTTCTGTAATATTTCTGTGCTACGACTCATAATCAGTTATTTCTTCTTTCTGGTACTTCTAGAACATTAGTGCATCTGCAAGTGGTGGACAAGTGGCACAGAGCAGAACAACCTCTATTAAAGATATTTTTTCTCATGTGTTTTGTTTAAAACTCATTGCATTAAAATTTGAAAACCATGTGAAATTTGAAAGGTTAACATTGGCATTAATTCAGATTCTGTAGTGCAGTGTTACATAATAAACAAATGTATTGTATATTTTAACCTGAATTAGCAGCGTCTGTTGGAAAAAGCTGGAAATGTCTTGCATTTGCATGGAATGCTTGCTACTGTTTCTTGTCTCATTTGCTGTTGATACTGCTCTTCCATCTTACAAAGTTCTTTAGGGGCTTATTAGAATTCACTATTTCAGCAGGCCTTAAATGCAGAAAAGGAACCCAGACCTAAAACAGTAATCAAAAATTCCATTACATGTGTTATCTTAGGAACAAGCTCTTAGTTTGTTACAGAATGTCACCATCAACCACAACAGACTTTAATTAAATACCAAAGAGCTCAGTAAGCATTGACTGAGGAAGTAATACTGTGTGCTCAGCTATTAGTCAGTTATGCCCTTGGGCACAGCCCTCAGCCCTGACTGATGTGCTTACTACAATGGTGAAACATGACAAGTAGTGTTTCATTTTGCATGCAAAAAAAGTTGAAATTATTGTCTGAAGAGTTGGAAGTAATTAATTTTAAATGCTGTTGAATAAGTATTAAGTCTTAAATTCTGTTCCAAGGAAGGGTTGCAGTCTCAACTTCTTTTGATGTCATGTGTAACCTTGAAATTTATGGTTGTACAAAAGCTAGAAAACATTACTGATTATTAGAACTGGAGCTAGATATGTGAGAAGTCAGTTCTAGTGGGAAGAGCTGGGAATTGATTGTTTTTATGTTTGGGAAAGGTCCACTTGAAAAAGTAATTTTATTTGTTTTGTGGACCAAAAGCTGGTTCTTTACATTTTAACCACAAATTACAGAAGGCAGAAATGTGAATATGCAGAAGTATTTTTGAGAACAGAGCTAAGTGGGAGGAAATCTGTTAATGAAATCAAGCTAATATTAATAAAATGCACAACTAATTTATAAATTTGTTACAAAAGTAGATTTTTGGTGGTGGGACAACTAACTGAATAAATTTTAGAGCAATGTTGAAACATAAAAAATATCTGGTTTTCCATGAAAGAACAGGAAAAAGACAAAAAGAAAGACAGCTTTCTGTTTTTGAAGTTGCCTCACAAAATACATAGCAATAGAATACAAAAGGCCTCTTTCTAATTGAATTACAAACTGTGTAATAGTTTAAACTGCAACAGCTGGTCTTACAAAGCTACCATATTCCTTGGAGACACGCTCCTTGGATTCCTTTAAGAATCTTACTAGACCAGCATTCTAACATTGCATTTGTGCTAAAATAGCAAGATGTATAGCTTAACAGCTCAGGCTTTATTAAATAATAACTAAAGTGAAGTACAGCACACAGTGTTTGTCTGTGTCTAACTTGTATTAATTTGTCTCTAGTAGCATCCTTCTCCCTGTCTGAGCTCTGGTTTTTTTTTGCTTTAGGCTGTCACATCCTGAAGCAGTCACAGCCTTATTGATAACCCCTTGTTTAATGGGGATTGGAATCACTGGGTAGTTCTGGAATGCTGCTACACAATTTAATTAATAAGTTGGGTATTGATCCTGGGAATACTTAAAAGGGTTTCTTCTTGTGGTTCTTATTGTCCCTGAATTAGGTTGGCAAGGGAAAAAGTAGGGCCTAGGAGGTTTTCTAGGTTTAATGAAGTAACTACAGTCATTTGAGTAACAGTCTTAAACTTGTACCAGAAAAGTACATTACTCTGCAATTGGTCACATGAGCTTGAATTTAGATTATTTTGAAGGAGATTGCCAGCTGTGCTTTAAAAGCATGTCAAACACTGAATGACAAACTGTCAGCAAAACCCTATGTATCATCCTTTCTTTTTTTGTGTGTGGAAAGTTCGTATGGTTTTATATGTGGTTGTTTTGCTTCATTGGTCAACAGCACACCAACTGGAAATATCTGTTTTTTTGAAAACATATGGTGTTTATGTATTCTTCTAAAAATTTCAGTTGCACTAATCCTAAACACTTTTTTTCTATTTAAGTTTCCAGAACACTGTTTTGTTATGGTCTTTTTTTGTATAAGCAAAGTAATTGATATTTCTTTCACAAACATAATGATTTTCATTTGTTCAAGTGGAGATTCCTGTAACATTTAAGCATTGGATTAAGGAAGACTTGCTATAAAGCAACTGCATATCAGAATGTATAGTTTTATGACACTGGATCCTGTGTCTTTCCAAAGGTATTCCACAACTGTATAAACTAAAAAGTTCTGTTTAGTAAAATACCTATGGCATGTCTGGGGTTTTCTTTCCATTTTTGAATGGTTAATGTGGAGAATAACATGCTGATTCATATTAGATGTGTTTTATTTTGTAAATATTTTATTTACATCAAAATAATTGTACAAGTTTGCTTTAATAAAGCCCAGGTTAGAGAAATGGGCCTGTTTCTGACACCCCCCCTCTCTAAAATCAAATCTCTGCAGTGCAGATAATCTGCATTCCTTTTACATATTGGCTTATGACAGCTTGAATTGTAATTTTAAAGCATGGTAATTGTTGCAGTGCAACACCATAAAAGGTATACATGTGGGCAAATAGAGACCCTTGAAGCCTGAATGTGGTCCGACCTCTGATGTAGCTCACATTGTGCCTTGAATAATGGTGACCTGCAGGAAGGAGAAATCTGAGGTGAGGAGGTGTTTTGCTCTGGCTTTGAAAGTCTGTTTCATATGTCTCTTGGTGGGAAACAAAAGTGGGTGCCATCTGCTTTTCTCATGCAACCTAAGAAGACCATCAGACTGCCAGAAGCAGCCTTGGTCTGTAGATTTAGTGTCCATGACACTTGTACCTCTTGAAAATCTTACTTTGTATATTTTTAAATTATTACTTCTATACATTTTTTTCTCCTTTTTTACAGTATTCTGTAACTTCTCTCAAGACCATCCCAGAATTATGCAGAAGGTGTGAGTCACAAAATGAAGACAAATCAGGTATGATGCTGTATAATTTCTGTCCACCCACAATATTCTAGGCCTTGTTTTAATCATGTAACATTTGGCAACAATAGTTTCTTGGTAGTGTCCTGTTGTTTTGATTTTTCTCATTTATGTACAGTTGGAAACATGAGTTACTTTTGTTTTTTAACAGATGTTAGTTCATTAGAAGGAAAGAAAGTTCCAAAAAAGGATTTGGCTGTATGCAGATAAATGTAGGGCTTCATCTCAGCAGCTCCAAACCACAGTATGTGCAACAATTTACTTGAAAACCCGAGAAACCATTGGTGACAAGACGTAATAATGTAGGCGCCAATGAAAAAATGTTGGATACATTTACTACCCATATGGCCACGACTAGTCAGAGGGATGATTTTTTGCCAGAGTCTGAAACTATATCAAGGATGCTACATGATATAATCTACTCTAAGGCATACTGTAACAGTTAAGATTAAAGCTGAGTTTTTTAATTTAATAGTGTAAACTAAATGAAGAATCATGGCATGCAGATGAGAACCAGCTGGAGATCTTCCCCCTGCCCCCTGACAAAAAGTGCATTCAGTGTTGTTTTTCACTCTGTAAATCAGATTAATATGCTTTTATTTTTCTCTTCCTGATGGAGGAGAAATGAATTGGTAAGAGAAGCATTTTTGTTGAGCTATGAAAAGTTTATTGTGTTTTTTTCATCTTTTAATTGAACTTTTGTTAATGTTGTTTCATCAAGTACTTTTATAACAGAAACAGGAGATCTGGAATTAATGGGGTGATACAAGGACTTAAGAACCATGCTATACTTCAGCAACTTTTAATTCTGTATTTCCTTTCAGACTTAAAAATTTCTACTGTGTTTAATGTAAGTAGAAACTCTCTAATTGCTACTTCTTCTAACAGAGTTATTAGAGGCCAGGTCACCACATACCACTGTCCTTGGCAACAAAGAGAAGCAAAGCTGTCCTTACAGTACTTATTTGCATATTGCTTTTACAATTCTTACTTGCCTACATAGAGCACAGCTGTGACTAACACAAAGTCTTACTTGTTGCAAGCAAGAGCAGGACAGAAGTGTAATGGGTGAAGACTCCTGATCCACCCTCCTCAAATTGCCCTATCTCCTTCTACCCCAGTCTCCCCTCATCCTCCTCCATCCTTCCCTCCATTCTCCCCTGCATATTCCCCTCTTTCTTCCCATCCTGCCCCTTTAAACCCTTCAATCCTTCCCTTGCCTCATCTCTATCCCTTTTCTTCTGTCTTCTTCCTTTCTTCTTGCTGGTTCTTCCCCCCAGCTCATCCCTTTCATCCTGCCATCTTCCCCGTTTGTTACATTTCCTTGCCACTTTCTTCCCATCTCCTTCTCTTCCTAGCCATTCAAACTCCCACTCTCCCTGTTTTCCTACTGTCACACCATTGCTCCACACTGTTCTTCTCCTGCTCTTCTCTCATTCCTCCTGCTGCCTTCTCTTCTCCTTTCCTCTTTTTACTCACTTCTTCCCTGTTCTGCTCGTCATACTTCCCTGCTATTCTCCATAGCATTTAGTCCCTCATTGCTCCCCATATACTCCCACCATTCTCTCCCATATTTTTACTCCCATTCTTTCTCCATTTAAAATTCATGTAGTAGACATAAAGGGAAATGTAGTCCAATAGTAAGGATGAAATACTGGTTATGAGGTCTTAATTTAGATTGTGGGATGTTGACAGCATACTGTGTATCTGTTGTATTCCATGGTTGCCTCTGCATCTGCCTCTGCAGATGGACTTTTTAATTATGATTTTAATTATATCAGTACTCATCTATTCCCTTAAAAAGGGGTTAACAGAAGCAAATACATGGATTGCTGAAAGACAGTAATATCTCTGGGGAGTCTACCAGTATAAGTCTTGAGTAAAACAGGGCTTTTGCACTGATAGTAGTATTGGCAAAGTGGAAACAGTACTGAAAGCTGGGTTTCCTTGCTACTTACCATGTACTTTGGTGAATAGGAGATAGTTCTGAAATATTTTTATTTTTACCCTGTTTATTTACTGAGTAATAATACAGTGCTGAAGAGGAGTGTATCACTTTACATGTCTGTATAGACTTCTGTATCTCAAGTATCTTGAAATATCAACAGAGCGTATAGTCAACTAATAACTATAAGGCTCCATTTGATAAATTTTCACAGTTGCTTTTGAGAAGTCTTTTTCTTCTCTATATTGTAGATCATTAAAATAATGTTGCCAAAGTATTGATAATGTGTGCTATTTTTTATGAAAACGGATTACATAATAAAACTTTCATACTATAGCATGAAGCATTCATACTAATTTATATCTGCATTCCACTGTTCATTCAAGTAGTTACTAAAAGAAAAACTCAGGTTTTACAAAGTGCTGATACAGCTTTTTACCTCATACTGACTCCTGCTTAGTTACAGGTTGCATTTCTCCTTTAAAACAGAGAGCACTGTGAAAGTAGCTATCCAATAATTCCTTTTTCAAAAAAGCTGAAAGTTAAGCAAATGTTGACCATAGATAAGACATATCATAATCTAAAAAGATAAGACATATCATAATCTAAAAAGCAATTGTCTGTCATCTTTGTCTCAGGAAAATATTTAGATCAGTAATTACAGTTAAGACAAAATTGTGGAGAAAGTAAGATTAGAATTTATACTTGAAAAAATAATTATGTATATACATGTATATATATATGCATATATGCATATATGCATATATATATATAGGCAAATATTTTCACAAGCAGGTTTGTTAGAACAGATATAAACCAGACCAGTTTATTGTTATGTAATTATATTTCTTAATTATATGGCTAATAATATGGAAGTGTTACTATTCATTGTTTGCAGATAAGTTTGGTAAATAGGCCTGTCATTCTGATTTTCTTTCCCCCTTTCATGTAAAAATTGAATAATAAGCTAGTAACATATGAAAGTATTTGGTTACATTGTTTTCAAATTACTCCAAGTGCTTTTAATCCTAGGCAAGTACTGTTGTTTAGAAGTCAGTGTGTCTTCTCAAGCATTTAATATAATTCCTTCAGAAGACTTTTGGGGTTTTTTTAACTATTTCTGATGGCTTGTAACTTTTGCTCAGATTACTTGTTCTTTTGAAAAGGGAGGTATTAGAAAGTTTTCCCAATGTGTAGTTTTTCCTCCTTGAAATGCCACCATCGCCTCCCTTTATTGGAGACCACTGGCAGGTGGAGTGTATTGTTTGGTATGTCCTGCTCTTCCTTTCTCTTCTGCAAGAGGTGCATGACAGCCATGAAGCAGCTCAGTCTCCGCCCTGACTCAGAATCAAAAAATCACAGAATATTCTGAGTTGGAAGGTACCACAAGGATCATCACAGTCCAACTCCTGGCCCTGCACAGGACACCCCAAGAGTCACCCCATGTTCCTGAGAGTATTGTCCAAACCCTCTTAAACTCTGTCAGGTTAGTGCTGTGACCACTTCTCTGGGGAGCCTCTTCCAGTGCCCAAACACCCTCTGGGTGAAAAACCTTTAGGTTATCAAACCTAAACCTCCCCTGACAGAGTTTCATGCCATTCTCCTGAGTCCTGTCACTGGTCACCACAGAGAAGAGAGCAGTGCCTGCCTCTCTGCTTCCCCTCAGAAGGGAACTGCAGAACTAGAATGAAGTCTTCCCTCAGTCTCCTCCAGGCTGAGCAGACCAAGTGACCTCAGCCACTCCTCACACGGCTTCCCCTCAAGGCCCTTCACCATCCTCATGGGCCTCCTCTGGACACTCTCTAACAGCTCAATGCCTTTTTTGTGTTGTGGCACCCAGAACTGTCCCCAGAATGTGAGGTGAGGCTGCCCAAGTGCAGGGCAGAGCAGACAGGACAATCCCCTCCCTTGCCCAGCTGGTGATGCTGTGCCTGATGCACCCCAGGACAGGGTTGGCCCTCCTGGCTGCCAGGGCACTGCTGGCTCAGGTTCAATTGCCATTGACCAGGAACCCCAGGTCCCTTTTCACAGATCTGCTCTCCAGTCTCTCATTCTCCATTCTGTCTGTTCATCCAGGGTTACCTCATCCCAGGAGCAGAATGTGTCACTTTCCCTTCTTAAGCTTCATACAGTTGGTGATTGCCCAGGCCTCTAATTTGTCGAGATCTCTCTGCAGGGCCTCTGTGTCTTCAGAGGGAATAACCAGCTCCTCCTAATTTTGTGTCATCTGTAAATTTCCTTAGTATTAATTCAAGTCCTGCATCCAAGTCCCTTATGACTTTTCTGAGTCCTTCTTGGATAGAGAATTCTGACTCAGGAAGGTTTCAAGGGATCCTTGGAGCCAAAGTATATGTGCCAGTACCCCCAGATTACAAGGTGAAAGAGATACTGTACTGGCAAAAAATTGCAGGGGAAGTAATGATTTGTCCACAGTAAAGGGTGATTAAGGGTAATTGTTTTTTCTACAATTATGCTTCAAGATAATGATCATTTAGATAGCATTATAACCACTAAGATGGACATTATCTCAGCTGTTAGAGCAAGATGATAATTAACTCCAAGACTGTGGGTTTAAGCCCCGTACAGGGCCTTTGCTTAAGAACTGGACTCAATGATCCATGTGGATCCCTTCCAACTCAGAATATTCTGTTATTCTGTAATTTTTTTGTTCTGTGATTCTGTAATTATTTTTATCTTCAAAGATAGAAAATTAAAGAGTGTAGTTTAGAAATGGACCAAGCTAGCACATTTTTCCTGAAATGAAGTGTTAACCAAAGTGCCTGTGGATTTCCAGCATTGTTTAATATAGACTGATAAACTGAAACAGCAATCAGTCCTTTATGTTATTATGCATGAAATTTGTTGCATTCTTCCTGGGCAAATTTTCTAAGGACACTTGAACAAAAGGTTCAAGACAACAATGTTCTGCAAGCTTCACTGAACCATGTCATTGTGGAAGTATATTCTGTCACCTGTGACAACTTTCAGTTGTCATTAAATGGCTGTTTCAAATGAAGGTAATATACTAGTTTAGATCTTTATTCACTGA